ATGGGCAAGATGTAAAGAAGGAAGATCAAAGAACAGGTGGTACAGAGCAGTAATGAGGTTAGAAGGACATGCTATCCCCTTCTCAGACTCTAGATTTTTAGCTTTTGAGTATCTCTAGAATAAAGAGTTTATATTCTTCATATGGCAAGTTCTAAGAGTTTTATCAGAAGTAGTAACCTGGATTTTCAGAGTTATATGACCCCTCAGCTAATTTCGCAGCCACTGTCAGTCAAAAGAGCACTTTAAAAAAAAAAAAAAGTCCCTTTTGGAAATTAGAACTGACTGTCCTAGAAATACCACTGGATTAAACCCTTTGCTATCATTTTTATCTTTGTCTAATATAAGACAGGCCACCTATGGATACAGCGCCCTTAAAGCTTAATGCAGATGGAAAGCCTAGTCTTATAGGAGTTGGTAGAAATTCATGAGCTGGAGCGGGTTAGCACCAAATCCAGGAACTTTCTGGCCTTCTGAGAGCACCTGTGTATCACAGCCCTGTTGTCGTTTTCTCTGCAGGCTCTTGAAAGTGAAACCAGAGGAAAGACTCACCATTGAGGGAGTATTGGACCACCCCTGGCTCAACTCAACTGAAGCCTTGGATAACGTGCTGCCCTCTGCTCAGCTGATGATGGATAAGGTTTTGAATGATGCGTATTTTGTTGGTCAAGAGGCTGTTTTTGAGAAGAAATGTTCAGGTTCAACTCAGTGAGGGTTTAAAAGGAAAATAATGCAGAGCAAATGGTCTTTCCCAAGAAAACATCTGGTTTCCTGAAAATCAGGATCGGAAATGAAGAACTGCTTTCCATAAAACACTAGCTCATGGCCCAGTAAATATACACCAAGGGAGCACTCCAGATTTGTGCTACAGGGTTGGGGGGCACAAAGCAGTCTTAAGACCCTCGCCCTCTGCCCAAGGGGTTTAAACAGATTGGTTAGAAAAGCCAGTAAAAATCAGGCAAGCAGAACATTTCAGAGCTTTTTCATGCTAAGTTTTCTCTGAATGCCACAGTACTCAGAAAAAGAGAACACCTCTGAAGGGCTTATAATTTGGTTCTTAAAGAGAACATTTATTAGCTATTTTGTGACAGTTGCTTTCACATTTTCAGCCATTAGCTGGCCTTGAAGAATCTGTGCCCAAATTGGCAAGCAACATGAGCAGAAAATTAGAGACTGAAGTTTGCCAGTCAGAGAAAAAAGCCTGACTTCACTAATGAAGTTGGTGAGATGGGTGTGGCAGGCCAGGCTTTGAAAGTAGACAGAGGGATTTAATCTTTTTTTTTTTTTAAAGATTTATTTATTTAACAAGAACCGGGGTACAGGCCAGATGCGAGAGAGGGTGAGAGGATTCACCAGAGACAGAACAGGGAACAGAACAGGCAGACTGACGAAATACACTGCTGAGGGGAGCAGCGGGCATGACAGGAGAGGTCTGCCATGCCATGTGGGACCCTCGCCTGCCGGCTGGGATCAAACCAACACTGCAGAGGCTGCAAACAGTTTCACAGCGTGGCGCTCAACCTCCTGTGCCACCAAGGGAGGCCCAAGGGATTTAATCTTAGTAGGACATAACTGAGGGGACATTTTAGATTTTTGAGAAAGGATTTGCCACAGAGAAGGTATTTAGGAATGGTGAGCAGACTTGCCAACCTACATCTTCTGTAGTGAGGTGACGAGAGATCTCTTAAGAGCTGAGAGTAGAGATGAATGAGGATTTGAAGACAAATTTCTACCAATTTTGGTGACTGAATATATGTAAGTGGGTATCATCGGGTATTACCATTGACAGATAGAAGGAAATTAAAAAACCAGACTGGTTTGGGTAAAGAGAAGTTTTAGATATTATTTATAGTGATAGACATTCAAATGAATGAGATGTGTGGTGGGGACCTGAGTGTGGCTGAAAGGTCAAGGCAGTGACACAGACTTGACTGTTACTAGCTTAGAAGGAATGGAATTGAAATGTGAGAAAATAAATGATTAGGGGGCCTCCCTGGTGGCGCAGATGGTACAGCGCCTCACTGTGAAGCTGTCCGCAGCCTCTGCAGCGCGGGTTCGATCCCGGCCTGCCGGGGAGAAACCCACATGGCGTGGCAGACCTCTCCTGCCTCACCCACTGCTCCCCTCAGCAGTGTCTTCTGTCAGTCTGCCTGTTCTGTTCCTCACCCTGTCTCTGGTGAATCCTCTCACCCTCCCGCGCATCTGGCCTGTACCCCAGTTCTTATATAAATAAATATATCTTTAAAAAAAAGGAAAATAAATGATTAGGAGAAAGGAATGTTGAAGCCTCCCTTAGTTTAGCTGGAATATGGAAGGGAAAGGAGAAACAGTTCTCTCCATTTCTAATTTGTGGGTGGTTGTCTTCCTGGTATAAATATGACCAGTAATCCAAAAATGGTCTAGTTAGTTTAAAATCCAAAGGGATTACCTGGTTCCTGTGGTTGTAGGCACATACAGTGTGGATTTCCTTAAGATCTTAGAAATGAAAAAATAAGATTGTCTTCTGGAGTTACTTTAAAATTAGTGCATAGTGAGGCCAAGTGTGGTGGCTATCTGGACTCTTTTTTTTTTTTTTTTTTTTTTTTAAGATTTATTTATTCATGCATACAAGAACCAGGGTACAGGCCAGAGGCGCAGGAGGGTGAGAGGATTCACCAGAGACAGAGTGGGGAGCAGAACAGGCAGACTGACTGAAATTCACTGCTGAGGGGAGCAGCGGGCGAGATAGGAGAGGTCTGCTGTGCCATGTGGGATTCTCCCCTGCCAGCTGGGATCGAACCTGCGCTGCAGAGGCTGCAGACAGCTTCACAGCACTGTGCTCAACTGCCTGCGCCACCAGGGGAGGCCTGCTATCTGGACTCTTAAAGAGAATGAGTGACTCCAAGGCCTGCAAGATGGAAGTGCACTGTGACAGAAACGAAGTGGGTTGGTCACCTTTGGAACTGTAGAAAAATGACCATATATGTAGCTGTTAAATAGTGTCCATTTAAGCCATGTAGAAGATGGAAGCTGAGCTCACGACCTTGAGCTGTTCCCATCTTTTTGGCTGGGCCATCACTGATGAGATAGATGTGAGGATACAGGGGACCAGGGCCAACTACCACGGTTTCCTTAACTGAGTTCAAACTCTTCCTGATCTAATTGCGCACTTACCAACAAACTACTGTTTTGAAATTGTCAAATTTTGTTGTTGAAATTTAAACAATATAGAGGTATCTAAAATTAAAAAGCAAAAATATCCTTTCATTCCTCTGCCATGGTTTTACCCCTGAGTGGTGAGGTCATCAATGGCTTAATGTGTCCTTCCTGATACTTTTCTAGGGGTATACACACATACTCATGAGTTTGTCCTCTTTTAAAATACAAAAACAGAATCATCTTGTCACAAAGCTTTCTGCTCATTATTTCCCTCCCTCAGGGAGAGCATTCACTGGTCATAAAGACACAGACTCTAAGGGTTCTAGACTCCATGACTGTTTTTTCTCATTGTAAATTGATCAACTGGCTTATAGATCAGTTTGCGAGCATCTCCCTTGCTCACTATGGCAACTATTTGGGGTTCAGAGCCATCAGGGCTGAACTGACTGTCTATATTATGAAGGCAGTGAACAAATGCCATTGTGGGAGGAGCAGTAGCCAGCCTTTCCCCTAGTGTTCATGCACACCTTTATTTACACATGGTCTTGCCAATCACTGCGAGCATAGTCTGGTTGGTATTTCTTATTTGCATCTCTGTCCCCTCACAGGGAAGTAGGGCTAGCTGTTATGTGACCCTTGGTTGGCCTGGATTCCGCTGATCCATGGAGAAGAGTTCTGTGCCTTATAGAAATTTGTATATTGCCAGCATGAGTGTAAAATTGCCTTAGTTCTTTGAGCTCTCCTTCCTACTTTCTTATATTGACTTTTTAGGTGCTCAGAAATAAATGTGGAAAACTGATGACAGTGTTTGCATTTAGGCAGTGGTTGCAGGAATCCAGCAGGCTCATGCCGAACAGTTGGCCAACATGCGAATCCAGGATCTGAAAGTCAGCCTCAAGCCCCTCCACTCTGTGAACAACCCCATTCTGAGAAAGAGAAAATTACTTGGGTAACTGAGCTTATTTCTTCAATTGTCTTTCATCGCTGGTGTGGCTGGCGTGTAGGATTCTGAATGGTCAGCAAGGGTCTGCCATTTTTCTACCTCTTAAGAAGGTGGAGAAAATAAGAAATGGCATCAGAAGTTGCAGATACTCTATAGTTAATTTATCTGAAAAATCGTTCCCTAGAGTTAATATCTTTCGAGAATTGGGTTTTTGTTCTCACCTTGTTTTTACCTGTCTCTCAAACTTAAAGCACCAAGCCAAAGGACAGTGTTTATATCCACGACCATGAGAATGGAGCTGAGGATTCAAATGTTGCCTTGGAAAAACTCCGAGATGTGATTGCTCAGTGTATTCTCCCCCAGGCTGGTAAAGGTCACATCATTTACAAATTTTCTGTGTGTGTTGGGGGGGCGGGAGGGGGGTGCGCGTGCATGCGTGCACGCATAGCACATGCTCGTGACAAAAGGAGTTGTTTTAATTTGGGGTTGTCTGTCTCATCTTTGTGTTATAAGAAAATAAGTATATTATAGACATTTGCGCCCACTAAAAAGAGTAGACATTGGGAATTCAGAAATGCGTAAGTTCTGCCCCTTTGATTTCCTGTGAAGTTTCTAGTTTAGATTTAATTGTCACTGTCACATGCAGCATGTGTTCTCTTAGTTTTTTGGTTTTTTTAAAAGATTTATTTATTTATTTATACCAGCACTGGGTACAGTCAGAAGCGCGGGAGGGTGAGAATTCACCAGAGCCAGAGCGGGCAGCAGAGCAGGCAGAAGGACCGAGTACACTGCTGAGGGGAGCAGCGGGCGGCAGGAGAGGTCTGCACGCCATGTGGGACCCTCCTGCTAGTGGCCGGGGAGCAGCCGGGGATTGAACCGGCACTGCAGAAGCTGCGGGCAGCTTCGCAACCCAGCGCTCAACCTCTGTGCCACTGGAGAGGCCCTCTCTTAGTTTATCAAGGAGGGCATAGGAATAGACGATGGAGAGTAAGCAGTGTGGACAGGGTCAGGATTGGGTTGCAGGCTGTTAAATACCGTTTCCAGAGCCTTTACAGTGCAAGGCTGTTACTAAATTGTGAATATGAAGAGAATACCTGCTTAGTAAGGAAATGGCCCCTGCTGCTATTCATACCGTGGCCTGAGTGTGAATTACCCATGATTCCTTTGGAACTTTCTTCAGTGTGTTCTTTCTCCACTCGGGGTATGTGGATTTGACTCAATAGATGAATTTGAGATGCTTCACGTAGTAGGCCAGAAAGCTGTTGAGTTTCCTAGATTTGGGTTTTAAGAGAACTCATGTAGTGTACAGCAGATAATCTTCCAAAATAAGAAATAGGTATAAGAGAAACAGGGTAGCCCAGTCAGCCTTGTTCTCCCTCCCACTCTTGGTCTCTTCGGTTAGCCAGGTATTTTTGTGCAGCAATAGAGTCTGACACTGCCTGTTTCCCATTCCCCAAAGCTAAGACTTGGACATCAGAGGATTTATGTGAGGCTGTGGAAGTATAAGAGTTCAGAGACCAAAATTGGTCCACATATAATGGACTAGCCTGTGGTAGAGTTTGCACCTGTAATCACTTTTCAACAAGTGGGACATCATGTCTTTCCTTCTCTAATACTGAAATTCCATGATGCTACAGGAAAATGCAACTACTTCTTCATCTTTATCAATAGGAGAGAATGAAGACGAGAAGCTGAATGAAGTAATGCAGGAGGCTTGGAAGTATAACCGAGAATGCAAACTCCTAAGAGATACTCTGCAAACCTTCAGCTGGAATGGTAGGGGTCCTAATCACTCCTTTCCTCAGGAATATAGATATGTGACTGTTCAGAAGATTTGGGATCTCTGGGGGGCTGGGCTGGAACTGTTTTTAGGTGAAGTAGGGCTGGAGAATGAATGGAGTAGTGTGGGACAGAGGGTTATACCCTGCATTAACGGCCCATGCATATCCAGACATCCGGCCCCTTCACATGTACTGCAGAGTTCATATGTTGAACTCTGGAGAACTGCTCTCGCACACCACTTGGGGTTAAAGTCCCTGATCTCGGAAGTCTCAGATACCAGGATGGGCTGTTCACCAGGTCATTAAGGAGCAGTGTACTCTAAGGGGAGAAAGGACAGAGTATTAGGAAATCCATCTTGCTCATCTATTTAGCTTAAAGAAGAGTTAAAGATTAGAGTTGGCCAAATCTGTTCTTTGAATTTTTCTTCCCAGGAAAAGAAGGAAGAGATATATTTCTTAAGCTGCTTTTTATATTATCTTTCTAGTTTAACACACTAAACTAGATTTCAGCTCCAGTATGCTCAGGAAAGGAGCAAACTATCTGACTTCATTGCCTGCTTGGTTCATGTACCTGAGAAATCCAAATATGGGCCTTTCCCTTATTTGGAAAAGATTAACTTTCCTGGGATTTTTGAAAAAGATTTTGGAATATCAGTACAGAAAAGTGATTGCATTTGAAATGTGCACTTCTGATGAGTTTTTAAAAAATGAACACTCCTCCATAACCAGTACCTAAGCATGGTGGTGAAACATGGACCCCTCTTCAGATTGCCACCTCCCTCCCCTCAAGGGTAATCATGATCTCGATCTCTAGCACCATAAATTAGTATTGCCTGGTTTTGCTTCTTATCTAATTTGGTTTCAGATAAGTCTGTTCCTTTGTGTGTTTTTTTAGTTAACACTATATTAGTTAAATTCAACCATATAGTTGTGTTTAGTGGCAAATCATTCTCATATAAATATATATTTTCCTCAGTACATATAGTGTATATAATGTCTGTCCGTCCGTCCATCCATCTATTCTCCATTCCACTGTTAGATGGACATTTGGGTTTTTTCCAGGTTTTGGTATTAAGAAAAAGTCTGCTATGGGGTGGGGAATGGGTAAAATGGGTGATAGTTAAAATGTACACATTTCCAGTATAAGATAAATAAGTTTTGGGGATGGAATATACAGCATGGTGACGATAGTTAATAATACTGTATTGCATATTTGAAAGTTGCTAAGAGAGCAAATTTTAAAAGTTCTTATCACAAGAATAGTACTTCTGTTAATATTCTATGATGATGGATATTGACTAGACTCATTGTGATGATCATTTTGCAATATATACAAATATCAAATCATTATGTTGTACACCTGAAACATATATAATGCTGCATTGTGGTTTTTTTTTTAAGATTTATTTATTTATATATATAAGAACTGGGGTACAGGTCAGAGGCATGGGAGGGCAAGAGAATTCACCAGAGAAAGCAGGGAGCAGAACAGGCAGACAGACTGAAGACACTGCTGAGGGGATCAGTGGGTGAGGCAGGAGAGGTCTGCCAAGCCATGTGGGTTTCTCCCTGGCCAGCTGGGAATCGAACCTGTGCTGCAGAGGCTGCGGACAGCTTCACAGTGCAGTGCTCAATCCTCTGCACCACCAGGGAGGCCCTAGATTGTTAATTATGCCTCCATGAAAACTTTTTTAAATTCTTCTCATAACTAACATTGTTTTTTTTGGTATTTTCTAGAGTTAGTTTAAAAAATTCAGCCAATAGAAAAGGAAATAAAATGGCTATATTTTGATGAACTCATCTTGTATAAGTCTAGGATTGGAATTGCTAGTTCACGGGTATAGTTATCTGTTTGACTTTAGTAGGCACTGCCACCAGGTTTTCAAAATGTAATAATTGTACCAATGGCTACTTCTACCAGCAGTATTTGAGGGTTGTGGTTATTCTACATCCACATCAACACTTGTTACTGCCTAGCTTTTTAATTTTAGTCATTCTGGTTAGTATGTAGGGTATTATAATATCATTTTACTTTGCCTTTCCTGGTGACTTATGAAGTTAAACACATCTTAAATGTTGGCCATTTAGATTTCTCCTTTTGGGAAGTGCCTATACTTTTGCCCATTTTTCTCATAGATGTGTAGGAGTTCTTTATATATTGTGGATAAAGCCTTTTGTCAGACTTATATATTAAAAAGATCCCTCTTTGTGGTTTCCTTCTATGCTACAGTAGTGAACTTTGGATTTTAGATGCTAATCCAATAGCCAGGTTAATGGAACTGCTAAATTGCTATCTGAAAAATCTGAACTAGTTTTCAGCAGTAATGGGGATGGTCCCTCCACTGGTAAGGGTGAATTTGACTACTTTAGCATACCTTATTTGGTTCCTGTCAAGAGTCTGTCATCTCCCAGACTGACTTTTTTTCTCTCTTGTGTTTCAGGTCGTGGATTCACAGATAAAGTAGATCGACTAAAACTGGCAGAAATTGTGAAGCAAGTGATAGAAGAACAAACTACGTCCCATGAATCCCAATAATGATAGTGTCAGACTTTGTTTTTTAACATTTTGAAAAATTATTCTTTAATGTATAAAGTAATTTTTATGTAAATTAATAAATCATAATTTCATTTCCACAGTGCTTAAAAATGCTGTATAGATTTAGATACAGGATTTACTAATAGTGTAGTTCATTTTAAGAAAATCTCAGTTCATAGAGATATATGATTAGGACTGTGTTACTCATGTGTGTAAGATGACAGATGATACTGTCAAGCAAGATTGTTTCATTTGTAATAAAAATGATTTGCTAGTGGTAGACATAAAGCTATTTTGACCTTTTCTTCTTAGTAAAACAGTTGAAACAAGTACTGTGGAATCTGGTTTCAGTTGCCCTGTGTATTTACTTTCTGAACTATTGGGGATGAAGTCTGGTGCCAAGAAATCTTTGTGGCTCCTTAATGCACACTGCCTGTTGGGCCTCACAGTATGCCCGCTGCCCTGGTGTCAAAGGCAGAAAACTGAGCTTTCATTTCTCTGATTTCACAGAGAAAAATGGTAGTGGTTCCCCCGACTCACATTTGCTAAATGGTATTAATGGTTCCTTAAATCTAATAGGGATCTCTTTTTTTTTTTTTTTTAATATTCCTTTATATTTTTTTTTTTTTTTTTTAGATAATAAATTTTATTGTTATATTCCCCATACAATTGCAGCGCCCCCATTCTGACCCCAATCCCTCCCCTCCCGCCCCTGCCCCCCTAAAAGTGTCTCTGGTTCATAGTTTTTTGTTGATTTTGATTTTCACTTTCTTATAGTTATTCATTTTCCTGGTCCCTTATTTAAGTTTTCTAGATTCCTGCTATGAGTGAGACCATCCGGTATTTTTCTTTTTCTTTTTGGCTTATTTCGCTGAGCATGATTAGGGATCTCTTTTGAGGTAATTCTTTTTACTTTTAACCACAGCTTCAGTTTCCCCTCTCCTGATACTCCACTCTGTCCTTTCCCTTCCCTGCAACCCCCACCAAGCTCCACAGCTTTTTTCCTTTCTCTGTTTTTCTGGTTCCCCTTTTATGGGATGACTTTTCTGAGAATTTTTCATGTCATGAAAACTGGACTATTGGATTAGCATGTAAGGTCTTTTTTTTCTCTTAAAGCAGCCCCTTTTTGTTTGTAATGCTTCTGAGTTTCATGTGGTATCTTTGGGGCTGCATTTCTTTTGCGAATGTACCCTCCATTTTTAGAAGTATGGTTTTGGCCCAGGGGTTAGCTTTTTCAAGGGAAAACAAGCCCGACTACTTTTCTAGTTTTCTATTGTACATACGGGCACATTTGTAAACGAGGTTTTTGGAAAGCACTTTTTGGTGGGTACCTGTGTTGATATATACAAGAGCTAATAGGCTATTCAGAGAGTAAAGCAAAGGGATCAGTAGGCTCAGTTATTCAGTTTTTTCCTGTCACAGTCTCTTCAATCAAAATTGACCCCACAAAGTTCACTTTATTTTCTAACTCCTCCACTTTGCTGAGCATGCTCCGTATCTGTGTGACTGACATGGGAGTGTAAGATAAAATACACAGTTACTTTTAAGAGTTACCTTATTGCTTTGGTACCCTTTTATCTTGGAAAATTTGTAATTCAAGGTAATTTTTCAGATAAGATTCAGTTATCTTAAGTTATTGGATAAATGTTACTTGGGATAAGTGGTTCCTCTATAAGGGATAGTTACGCTATAAAGGATAATTCAGTACTTTTAAACATGACAAAATCAAAGAGTTAGGCAGCAGAGAACCAAATTTTCTCAATTGACTGATGAGAAAATTTATCTGAGATTTGAATTAAAGGGTTGAAGTAAATAATTCTGTATATCAGTAAAATGCAGTCTCACAAGTCCCTTACAATTTCAGGAAATAATCTGCACTTGTTTCTAGAATCTTTTGTTCTAGAAACAGCTAAACACTTGTTTTTTTCTTAGGGCAAAGGTTTGTTCAGTATTC